CTTATTCCTGGTTTGCTTGCAGCTTTGTATGATCTTTGAGAAGTCATATCAAGTGTCAGTCTGTGCTTTAAGCTCTGCCAGGTGGGGGAGAGGGGCAAGCACCCGTGTGTGGTTGGGTCAGAGGTGAGGCTCAGCTGAGGGTTGAGCTCTGTGGGAAAGGGTCTTTGCTGTTTGCCAATGGGAGGAGATTCCTCTGGCTTTAACAGAAGGTAAAAGAAGCAGAGCAGCATAACAAAGCCTCTGCCTGAGCAAATGAAAAGCTGCTTATCAGTTCCTTTGTGCCACAGGAAAGCAGAGCTGCTGTTATGACCTGGCAGAGCCGATTGTGCTGCTTTGCCCCGGGGCTGCTTCCGGATTCTTCCACCTTTTCTTTCAAAAGCAAAAAATCTTCCTGAGCTGCTGAACAATAAGCAGCATGGGGAGAGGGCTATTAAGCATGCATTATCACTCCACTCCTATGGGTCTTCCAGAGCCTAGCTGAAGACAGCTAAAATGGAGCCCAGGAGGTAGTATGGGACTGCCCCTCAGACCTTATGCCTCTTCCTCCCTAGATTCCTGAAGGATTATTGCGAGAGGGGCAGCTTCTCAGACCTGGACCTCATTGATAACTTGGGGCCATCCATGCTGCTTAGTGATCGCCTGACATTTCTTGGTGAGAACCTTCTGCCACCAAATGCTTCCTGAAAGAATGCCCACTCTGCCAGCACTCCCTTGGAGCTCCCCATTCCCTCTGTTTCCTCCATCCCAAGGCCGTTAGAGGATGACGTGGAAAACAAATTATTATTGGTAGCTTGACCAGCATCACAGTTGGTGCTTGTCATGCATCACTTCTACCAGAGCAGCCAAGTGTTCTGGGATTCTTCCACCATGCACTCTACCCCTACCTACTAGTGATTCCTTTGAGGAGCGAGCAACCAGAACCAGGAAAACCACATTAGACAATACAAGGTAGCTTGTAGTACACTGAGTATAGGAGAGTCTGCTTGTTGCCTGAAGATCTCCACCATCTTCTGATGGTCTGTTACACTGACAAGCTCACACAAGTGAGGAGGGCTCCCCATAACACAGGAACTCGAGTGTTGGAAGGGCTCCATCCAGTTTCCTTTGCACAGCCGCAACTTCCTCCTCCTTTCAGCTGCCACAAACCTGAGATTGCTCAGCTGTGGGTTCTGGTGATTCATGAACCAACAAGCCAGGAAGCAGAGCTGAAATGCAACTTCCCAGGGAGCTACTGGCAGTTAGAACATTTGATTTATGCCAGAATCTGGACTAGGAGCAGGAATTTGGCTGACTTCCGGGTGACCACAGCATTTCATCTCTCCAGGCTGACAATTCAGATTCGCTCCCCTGCACTTTAATATTACAGTTTGTGACTGAGCCTAGAAAGAAATGTGTCTGCTGTATTTGAGCTCCTCCAGAACCTAGATCCTAGAATTTTATCCAACAATGACTGTGGGCCAGTCCTACTTCTAGGTGCTGGCAGTTCTACCAGGAACTTTGGGGGAGCTGAATTGCCTGCTTAGTGTCTTGTGACTCAGGCATGGGATGTTTCTGCCAGGTGCTGATGTGTTTTACTCACCCCCTGCCCCTGGTCCCTCTTCGACTCACACAGGGAAGTATCGGGAATTCCATCGGTTATATGGCGAGAAGCGGTTTTCTGAAGCTGCCAGGTTGCTGTTGATGCTGATGACTGCTCATATTGCTCCTTGCTCCTTCTGGATGACTCTGCTCACTGATGCCCTTCCTTTGCTGGAGCAGAAAGAGGTGAGAGTGACGTTCAGAGACAGTAATCCACCCGTAGGCCATTCCTCTTCTTCTGGACTGGATCTGACCGGGTATCTCCAAACAGCTGATCTCATGGGCAGGAACGCCTAGCAGTTCTCCATGCTCCCAGTGCAAACGGGTAACATAACTTTGAGAAATATATCGCCATCTGAAAGTCATGTGTACAGCAGCAACATAGAGGAGCCAGAGCATGACGTCAAGGGTGCAGGCACTCGCAGCAGAATTTGGCTCCAACGTGTGCCCTAGGCAGTTGTTTCATCTGTGGTAGGATTGCAGGTGGTGCAGGCTGGGGAATGACTAGGACTGCATTCAGCCCCTTTCTTCCAAAATAGTAGAATCAAGGTACTTGACATGCTGCAGGCTTATCTAGTTGCTTGAATTGGGGTTTTTCAGCAATGAATGTTACTTTGTAGTGGTGTGAGGTGGGCTCAGAAAACTTCAGCTTTAAGTACCAGACCCACAAACATCCAGAGGCTCAAAGTGGAGTCAGGGGAGTGTAAAGGGCATGCTCTTCTTTCTGATCAGCTTCTCCTGCCCCAAACTGGATTCCCTGTGCTAACCAGTTAGCATTTTCAGTAAGCAGTCTCTGTCCTGCAGGTAATATTTTCAGCTGAGCAGACATACGAGCTGATGCGGTGCTTGGAAGACCTGACAGCAGGAAAGTTGGACAATCAAAAACTCCAGGTAAGTCCTATTGTGAGGACACCCAGATAACAAATGCATTGGGATGTGAGAGAGATCTAGTTGCTGAGGGAAGGTCCAGGATCTTGAGGCTGGAGGACCTTCCATGAGCAGTTGAAAAACAGCAAGGAAGGGGATATCATGAGGCATCGAGATGTCCTTATCTGTCCAAAACCCTGTCTGTTTCCATCATCCTGTGCTGTTTTGTAAGGGGTGCTCAGCGATCATTTACCTTTACAAGCATTTTCCTTGTGAAAAAATAACTTTTAAATTAGAGCAAAAGGGTGATACGCACTTTACATAAGGAACCAAACTGCTGCACTTGCCCACATCAAATGGGCAACTATTTGCTAGATACAAACAGCTTTGGAGTGAAAGAAAGGTTGAGTTGCCCTGTCTGTGCTGGGCTGAAGATGTAGGAAACCTGGTTTGATCCTCTTAGAACATGGGAAAAACCCTTGCTTAACAGCCACCTAAGAGAAGCAGCGTGCAGGGCCATGTCAGTGCTTATCACTGTCTCCCTAACACTTTTCCTTTCCAGGATGACGACATTGAGACGACCAAGGTGGAAATGCTGAGACTCGCATTTGCACGAAACCTTGCCCGAGCCATTGTGAAAGAGGGCACGTTGGAAGGGTCCTGAGATCAGGCCAACACATTATTTTTATACTTCCTCTGTGGCATACTGTACATAAACTTGATGGCATTTCTAAGAGTAAATGTCTTTTTTTTCTGCATACATCTAGCTGGTCTCTCCTCATTTCAAAGGAGACCCTGGATAGGGTCCCTGCAGTTTCCTTTGCCTCAGCAATGAACTGGCCTTAAAGTTCTTTCTTTCTATTGGCTTGGAGCACTGCAAGGCAGCTTTCAACATGAGCAAAGGCAATGCTTCATACACCTACCTTTCAAGCCAAACTGCAGGCTGGAAGTGTTCACCTTCCAGAAGATGCCCGCCTCTGCCTTCTTGGATTGAGTCTTGTCTTACTTCCCAGGCTGTCATTAGGAAGGGTTGCCCACAGAGCAGAGTAGGGAAAACAGTTTATTTAACATGCAGCAAAACAAATGCATTCGAGATGTATTTATAATAAGACGGTTCAGTATGAAGCTGCAACCTCAACCTATGAACAAGTAACATTCATAAATAATTTAATTTCCAAAGCTTTTAACAATACATTTCCACACAGCGAGAGGATGGGATCTTTCCTTTTGACTGTACAGCTTGGGCACTGCAGCGCTGTTGACAGTAAGAATGAAGCCATTCTGCAAAAAGCACTTGTGCTCTTCTGATTTCCTCAGTCACAGTGAGATTCACTTGTAGGCATCTAAAGCAGTGAAACCTGCTTCCTAAAGGATATATTACAGCACCTGGGCAGACTCAAGTGACCTGGGCAGACTCAAATAATCTAAGCAAAGCCCTATGCTTACTGTGTCTAAAATGCAAGTGAGGACCTTGTCAGAAGCAGAAAAAGACTCTCTTGCTCCCCACCTCTTCCTTTCTGTTTAAAAACACCACCGCTTCCTTTAGGGAACTGAAAAACCCAGTGACCTTACCTCCCTGAAAAGCATAGTCTATTCCAGGGGCGGGCAATTATTTTGGACAGAGGGCCGCTTGCTGAGTTTTGGCAAGCCATCGAGGGCCGTATGACAGGCAGCCAGGGGCAGATAAATACTAAGTTTCTGAATTTTTTAAGGGCCCCACAGGCCAGATAGAATGGCCTGGCGGGCCGCATCTAGCCCATGGGCCACATTTTGCCCACCTCTGGTCTGTTCCCTTACAACACCTGACAGAGCTTTGTTCCTGAACTCCAAACCAGCTGTCTATGCATGTAGCACGCTGCCAAGTTGGATTCTACCTTCTATACCATCCTAAATGTCTCATGCAGCCTTCACCTCAGGACCTCTGCATCTGTTGTGTCTTTTGCTTCACTTGGTGTTTCCTATTACTCAAGAAAAGCAGTTAGGTGCCTGCAGCAGACTGCCAAAGAGAGCTAGAAGTAATTCTGAGCTCTTTTTGCAGTAATGGGTTTATAGACTCCACTGATTTCAGCAGCACTTTCTCTTTTCAGCCTTATTGCTATAACAGGCTGGAGCATCTTCATTGTGCACCGAATTCCTCAGCCTATAGACTGCACTGCAAGAAATGCTGAACACTGATGGTTTCCACTAAACCACCTCTTGTGCTCTGCTCAAGGGACAGACAGTTGCCCATGTAATACAATCTGCTTGAAGCCAACTGGGGCATCATGTGGATCTGAGACCAAAAATGGATGGGAGACAGGGAGGGAAAGCTAGAATCAAACCTTTCCTTATTCAACTGCATTTCCTAGTAAGTATAGAGAGGACTTGCTCTTCTGACCTCCTTATGTTGACCCCCACCACAAAGTTGGTGTCCAGCAGGATAGAGATTTCCCACTGGGGAGACCATTGCACTTTGCCACTTAATACTGGGAACAGATAAAGTGGTAAGACACCCAACACATGCATCGTCATAGCGTAGTGGGTCCTTCCTTCCCTTCATCTGTCGGCTTACTTAGTAGTTGCTCTACAGCTCTAGTATTTACAGATCCTACTCCTAATCACCTCAAGAGAACATAGTACTCAACTACAATAATAATACTCCGTGCATGAGGGGACTTGAGAGGCCTATCTTCTTAACCGTGCTTTGGTTGCTGCACCTGATTAGCGATTGCAGAGACTCTGCTGCCCTTATGTCCTGGGCCACTGGAGCCTTCTAGCCCTGGTGGTTTTACCTCCTCACCTCCCCCTGCTCAACACCGTGGAATGTGACGAAGTCAGAAGAATAACCAGTGTGTAGCCACATGTGTACAAAGAGTAATCCCAGCTGCCTGGAAGCGATACCGTATACAGGCACCTGGGAGTATAAAATACACTGTATCAGTTAGAGAGAGAGGTGTCACACAGCTCACACCTACTGTCTGCCTAAATGGACTGCTTAGGATGGCTGTTGAGAGAGAAAATGGAGTGGGCGTATGGAGCATCAGTCTAGTGTAAAAAATAAATGTACCCTCTTTGAGCCAGCCTTATTGCTCAACAGGCTTAGAGAGTCTAGTTCTGGTACCCAGGAGATAAAAGCCCTAGGGTAGGCCTATATTAGGGCTCTGCACTGAGGAAACTCATTACATCATTACCCTACCAGCCTTTAGGCATCTCTGGACAACAGCATGGGAGTAAGCCAACCCAATCCCCCTCTGGCGACAGGTCTCTGTTCCAAAACACCATAATTTCAAGTTTAAACAAAGTGGAAGATAGAACCAGGTTCACCCAGAAGCCAAGATAAAAGCAGCCAGCAAAAGGTCTTACTGGCTGCCACTCAGTTCATGCTTGGCATATATGCCCCAGGACCACTTCAACCTGGGGTAAAACATTCTGGACTAAAGCTACAAGCAGAGTGGTCAGGACATGTAAACAAAGCTAAACATCACCAGTGGATAGCATGTGTGCCCCTTCCACGTCACAGTCATTCCAGTCCCTTTGGGATCCCTGCCAGGTCCTGTCATGGAGTCTGTGGCAATCTCGCTGGGTCATAGATTACCCCATTGTTCTACCGGGGGAAACTGATCCACTTCCCCAACCTCTGTGCTGGGCTGGTCTCCCAAAGTGAAGGTCAATCGGTATCTCAGTCTCACTTTTTCCTGCACGAAAGAAGAAAGAGGAGATGCTAAAACAGCCTCCCAGGAAGACCATGAAATCAGTAGTGGAATGAGATGACCAGGGTTACTTCCACGTTACACACTTCGCTGTAACAGTATTGTAGAAGTCATAAAAGCTCTATGCATGTACACACCAGGGGGAGGAGGCAGTCAAGCTAAGTTCATGGGGTGTTTCTGGACACATAGGCAGGCTGATTTATTTATCTTCTACTTCATATGCTATGAGGAGCCCCCCTCTTGAATGGAACAGCAGGAGAAAAGCATGACCTACATTACATATGCTGACCAGCATTAGGAGTTCAGGTGCTCTTCAGTGATCCTGCAAAACGTGTGTGAGTGCAGCTCAGAGAACTTAAAGTCTCAAAACTAAGCAATGCTGCAGCATGTAGTAGAGGGAAGGATAAACCTGACTGCTTCGTAGTCCCTGCTGACAATGAAAGGGGGAACAGAAATCTGTCCTTGCTTGGATATCTGGAATTTCAAAATGTTCCCTGAAGTCAAGATTGATTGATTGATTGATTGATTGATTTTACAGAAATCCAACATTCCACAATATTTGTCTCTTGAGGCTATCATGCCTTTTAGCTGAGGCTCTTAATGCCAACAGAACCATACTCTTTGGGAATAGTAAGTAGCAAACAGCCAAATTATTGGAGTAATCAAAACACTATTTGAGTAAAGACTTTGAGCTTCACAGAACATCCCACCACAGTTATCACCACAGCAGACAGAGCAAAGTGCTCCAGAAAAAATATAGCAGCTAAGTAGTTCCAATGTGATAAGGAAGGGGTTAACTGTTGTCTTTTAAATTATTAGCATTACACTTCACAGTTAATGTCCCAAAGGAAAGTGGGGAGACCTCTCTTGATGCTCGTGGTTCAAACCTTTTTGTCTGGCTACTGACTCAGTGGGATGAGAGTATTTCTACTACACTGGATCAGCTTGGGTTTCCTGAATGTTAGACATCCCACTGGGGGAGATGGAAGATCTGGGCAGGAGCCCAACCTGTTTTCACTTGAAGCAGAACGTTATGGTGGTTATTCTTCCAACCTAGAGCTCTCCAAATGCTCATCCTACCTCCCCTGGCTTGTCTAGGGTTGTTGGGGAGTGAGGCTGTCCCTAAGCCATTCAGGCTTTCCTCATCCCAGAAATGAAACACTTCTGTAGTGTAAATATATTCCACCTGCAATGACTAACCTCCCTCAGAATACTGCTCCAGAATTTAGATGAGTCTGTTCATACAGTTAGTCTAAACTCACTGTGGTATTCAAATCACAGCAAAAAGACAAAACTTATTACCTTGGTGGGGTTTGCCAACAGCATGACTTGAGTGATGGCGGCTGGTGGCTGGATGGGGTTGAATGGAGACAGTTCCGTGCCCGAGGGGGGCTGCAACTTCACTTTCATGGACTGCAAATGAAAAAACACAGGAAACCTCCGGTGATATGACTTGACTGGGGGTAGTGAGGAATCTATGCATGGACAGGGAGAGTTGTGCTGCACATATCAAGTGCATAGATGAGCATATGTCCATTTGGAAGGAGTGAGAAACCTAGGTAAGGCTGTTCTCTGCAACGCAAACTATGACAGGCAAGCAAAACCAATACCAGGCAAACCAGAACAGCACCTCTCTAGCACTGGTTTCTCACCAGCAAGATTTCAGAGGAGATTCCTTAGTTGGTGAAGACAGAATAGATCCAAGCTCTATGCTGTCTTCCACAAGTAGAATCAGTCATCCAACATTAGACTGGAAACGGTTTAACAAGGCCCATCAAGAAAGCCTCCCATGACTCAATGCAAAACAGTGCTAACCCCTGAAACTCACTTCATTCTCTTAGTTACAGTCTGTACCTTCTCCCTGTCTTTCAATTTGCCCATTTGTTTTGCAAGTCTACGCTGCAGAAAAACAGCTTTTAGGATGTTCTGCGTTTGTTATAATTCTGCTTAATGACACCTTGTAGCTTCAGTGGGGAAGGTGGGACCATTGCCTGATGCAATCTGAGAAGTCAGAAATGTAATAAGCCTATTAGATCTTCTGGTCCATCTCCTGGCCACGGCAGGATTATTGTACATTGTTTTAGCAGTCATCCAGTTTAGTTTCAAATGTCCCATTCAATGGGTTTTAGAATTCTCTGTTTCGCAGATTATCCTGCAGTCTAATCAAGCTCATTGCCAGGAAGCTGTGGTTTAAATCTAATAACAATTACACCCTACATTTTGGAATCTGAAGAAGCAGGGGTCTGAGACTAGACAGAGGGGGAGTGTCATGGGCGTCACATCAGGAACCTCAGACATCTCCTGGCTCTGCAGGCTTTCCCAAAAGCATCTCTGTTTCTCAGGGTCATCCCAACGTCCCTACCTTTGGTACTGCTGCCTGCAGTATAATATTTTTAATAGGAAGTGGTGCTGTGTTCAACATCGACACAACCACGACCAGCACATCCGATCTCCCAGGTGGACACTCCTGGGCAAAGTGCAGGAGGATCCTGAACCCGTTCTTATCGTAGGCTGTCACTGGAAGAGCACTGCCTGGGGAAAGAACAGAAGGTAAAGAGTGCTATAAGTTAACATCTCATCATACTCTAAATCTGTAGCAGATGATTAGACTCTGGTGTCTCACTGCCTGGCATTTTTCTCAACGTCAGGCTCTTCTTCAGAAAAGCAACACAGCTCTCCATATCTTTTCACAATGCAGCTAAACAGTAAAAGACAGTGATCTCTGTATGAATAAGTTCAAAGAGCAACCAATTCTCTCCCAAGGCTGATGGTCTTCTCAGCAGTAACACTGCTTCTCTCTTCATCCAGCCTGGGCTTTTGTCCTCTCCAGATGGTTTTAAAGGGGAAAGCAAAGGAAGGGTGCTAAGTGCAGTAGCCGGATTTGACAAGCACAGTGGACTCAGGCATCAGAGCAACATCTCAGCTGTACAATGAGACTCTGGATCAAAACTAACCCTGCACCTGCACTGCCAGGGCGGCTGCAATGATGTTCTGAGCACTTGGGTTGGGTAGCACAATGATGCAGTGTCTTGCTCCACAACACCTCCAGGGTTCTGAGTGGCAATACAGTTGTGGAGGCCCTATGTGCCTGTACTGCAACATAGCTAAGATGCAAACACAGGGAGGGGATTTCATAAGCAAACACTAGCTCCTAAATAAACAACTAGGCAAATGTCTTTTAAGTCCCTTGCCAGTTAGAAGTGATGTGTCCATAACGCATTGGTCTAAGAGCCTACCAACATTTGTACATATTGTGCCTTGGGAAGGGCAGGTCCAGATGAGGGAAAGTCCACTTCTGAAAAGCCAACAGCCCGTCCTGGCAATAAAACACTGCAACCAAAACTAGCTGCTTCCTGACTGTGATCAGTAGCAGGGACAGGACTCTGCTACAAATCACATCTATGCAGCCCCACAGTCTGGCTTGGGCTAAGGGGAGTGGAGGAAGGTACGTGTCTGTCCAGTGTGGGGGTGGGGAAGGGAGGAGGAGCGTGCATCTGTCTGCGTGTCTGTCCATGTGTATGCATGCACATGTGCGTGTGTCTGTCCGTCTGTGTATGCGTAGAAAGAAAATAATTTGATCTGAAATCACCAACTGACAGCATCGGAAAGCAAGACCCAATAATGGCTTTGAAGAGGGGTAGCTCAGCATTGGAAAGAGGTCAGAAGGGGCCTCAGATACTTACTGGGTTTAATGGACTCCAGTGGAACATGGACATTGGCCAAAGAAATGTCAGCTGCTTTCAGAGGGCTGCCCTGCTGCTGGAAACAAGCTGGCTGGAAGAGGGGGCTTCCTGAACCTGCGGTACAGCTGCTTGGAAAAGGAATAGTAGGGACCACTGGATCAGTGACCGGCACACCTGCAGTGGATACGATGGGGGCTGAGGTGACAGCGGTTGATAAGGTAACTCCAGGGAACACCGAGGGTGTGGGCTTCGCTTGGGCTGACGTCCTGAGAGGGAGACAAAAATAACAGCAGAAAATTACAAAGATGCATGTGTAGCAGCAGTAGAAGCAACACCACCAAAGGCAAGGTCTCACTGCCTTCCCCAAGGTCATCGCAAGTCACCAGAATGGATGTGGAGGCCTGGAGCCATGCCAGAGTGTTGGGTCCCTGTGCTGCCCACATTAGGCAGGGCTGCGCTGGGTTAGTGTTACAAGGAAACCCACAATGCTTCAGGGCATACTGGTGATTCAGTAGGTGCCACTGTTCTGTCTACCCAGCAATGGTCTAGCGCCCTAAGCAGGGTGCTGGATCCTCCAAATAGCAGAGAAGGTAGGCAAGATCCTGATCAGTGATAGTCTTTTAAGAATCTCAGGGCACTTTTCACAAAAGAAAGTTTATTAACCAAGCATGCTGGACGTGTAACACTCCATCTACCTAAAACGTTATGTAGCACATCTCTACAGTGTAAGCAGCTGCTGTGTTCCACCACAGTCAGCTGCATTTCAGTGAAGGGATTGTCACTCAAATGTATAGTTTATACATTAGTCAGTAAAGTGCTCTGAGATCCTGAAGGGGAGAGGTGCTATATAAAAGAGGTCACGCTGTAGCCAATCATAAACTTCTGTCAGCTAAAGAGGAAGAGGGGAGTCCAGCTACAAACTCAACACACTGCAGCAAGATTTATTTTCAAACTGAAGAGATGCAGCAACATCCAGAACTTTTACCCTTTGGCTTCTTCAAGAAGGTGTCCCAATGCATCCAGCTTGTGCAAAGTATTGCCCCCCATGGCTGAAGGGAGGTACCCAGGAGCAGCTGGCACGGCCTTAGGAGGGCCCAGAGGGGTGGCTGGTCCAGCAGAGAATAAGTTAGGTGCAGGAATGCTGGAAACAGTCTGAGAGGCTGTGAAAGTGGAAGGCAGCGGTGCAGAAATTCCACACGCAGATTGCGATCCATGATGGAAAAGAGGGTTCCCTGCAGAGTTGCAGGCAACAGTCACCAGCTTTGGACTAAAGAAGTCCAGGTCCACCTGGTCGTTCTGCAACAGAAAGGACAAGTACATACTGTTAGTCGCTCCTTCATCGCCACCATGATCTACAGGTATCACCATAACACAAGGAGACGTTTTACTCTTTTATGGAAGGATGGAGGAGAAGCTAGCATGGAAAAAGCAGAGTCTGTGGCATCTGTCTGGGCTATGTCCAGTTCGTAGCTTATCTGACAGATTTCCATGCTGTGCTGGATAGGGTATTACTAGCGGACAGTAAGGAAGGGTCACAAGCTAAGGTAGCAACCCTTATTATAAACATTTAGGCTGGTCTCTCTCAGGAAAGTTGCCCATCAGAGCAAAGACACTCTTAGAAGCCAAATCAGAACCCTGGCCAATGCATTTTAATGCTGCAACAACTAGAGGGTTACAGCAACAGCTGCATCCCTACAGGATGGACTCCTTTGCCTTTGGTCTTGGAGGGCATTCAGTCCAGACTATAGTTCTCACTCTGTATACAGACAGTGCCCTCTTGTTTTTATTTAATCAAACTCCTTTCCTGAGTTTTCGTATCAGGCTTTGTTCAGGTACAATTGGAAAGCAGGACATACAAAGAAGGGAAATGAAAGCTCAGGTATCTGTTCTGTCCAGAATAAGACAGATCAGTTAAATAGGGCCAGAGACAAGAGACAGGCCCTCTGGTCTGGAACAGCTATTCTTTCTGACTGGTAACTGTGCTTAGCTGCTCCTGCTAGGATATGGGCAAAAGCACCATCACTGCAGCAGGGAAAGCCCTCAGAGATTTTGGCAATATCAGTCTCTGGAGGTAAACCCCATCTCTCTCCCTTCATACCTGGAACACGTTCCACTGATTGTTATCCGTTGACTCCTTCACTGCTGTAGGGGCTGGGTCATTCAGGCCTGAATGCAAAAGAAAAGATTTGGAAACTGGAGGAGAAACACACAAAATCTTTCACTGTTCACACTAAGAAGCAGTCTGCGGTCAAGTCAGATGTCATCCCCTCCTCATCCCATACCAGGGGTCTAAACTATGATCAAACCATTTGATTCCTTTCAAAGCAGTTTGAAAGCGTGATGAAGACATCCGTGTGGCATGCCAACAATCCTGAAAGCACTGGACTGAAAGCAGCAGGTATACAGATGTGCTCTGGGAAAGTTGGAAAGCTTCTGCAAGCTGTACTTCTAAGGCACTCCACTGTTGTACTGACACATGCCCTACTAGTTAAATGTCAGTGCTTCCCAGGCAGCTACTCTGCAACTCATCTAATGCACCTGCCTCCTAACCACAGTACTGATGCTATTTTAATCCTGAAGGTTATAGTGAACTGCAGGGGAGGTTTTCCAATGTGGACAAGCACTTGTGGGGCTTAGATAGAGGCTCTGTGATGTCCTTTCTGACCTATGTCTGAATGCAAGAGAAGCCTCCAAAAAGGAACACTGACCTACTTCTTAATTTTTATTAGACCATTTGGTGGAGGAAGTTCCCTAGATGTCCCTTGCACAGACCTGAGGACATCCAGGAAGGACCAGACCAAGAGAGAAGGAAGAAGAGACAGTGTTGGTTATGTATGGACAAACCAACACTCCCAGATTGAGCACTAACCTCTGTAACACCCTACACACACGGTACCTCCTCAACTCTTACCTAAGCAAAGCAGCTCCTCATCTAGCAAGGAGAGAGAATTAGCCGTATTGCTCTGCTGAGCAGGAGCCGTCTCGGCTTGGCTGGAGGAGCGGCTCCGCGAGTGACCAAATGTCTGGGGAGGAGGAGGAAGGATGGGGATTTCTGACAAGGCCGGCACTGGTGCTAGTGTTGGGGCTGGGGTCAGCGTTGTGGATGGCATCGGTGGTGGCGGGGTGCTGGTAACATCCAATCCAGCGAGGTCAATGAGGGCATTGAGACTACAGGCAGGATCGCTCCCTGCAGCAAATATAGGAGGAAATGTTACAATAGGGAATGCACAGCAGGCAGCTTTGAACAGCATGGACAAAGAACAGAGGGTACAAACATCAGAAAAATGCTTCCCTACTAATCACAGCTTGTGTAGCTCTTTGAAAAAGAGGAAATCTACATACTGTCCTTGAAATGTAGCTGTTTAACTACTACTGAGCCAGGCACAGTTAGGGACCTTCTGTATAAAAAGAGAAGCCCAGTGCAGTCACTGCTTACTCCATAGTACGTGCTGTCTACAGTGTAAGCAAGCAGTTCCTTTTGCCTGTTCAGTAATACTGGCCGTTAGTTAATCCGGGAACAGTAGAACCACAGAGAAATCTAGGGCCTGCGTCCAAGATCCTCTTCACATTCATCACAACCAAACCTTTGTCATAGGGAATACACAGCGCACTGCACTGTATCATGATTAGTGCATAATCAGGTTGCACTTCCTAGAGCTGCTCATCCAAGAATTTTAGAATGATTCACAAACAGCAGTTATGGCTCACAGAAGCCCTGTCAGGTTGATACTGTAGGCTTCATTTTTTTGATGTAGAAACTGAGGCACTGAGTAAGTGACTTACCTATGTTCAAACCACCTGTGGTAGAGCCAAGAACAGACCCCTCAGTTTCCTGCTCCAATCCCTTAGATCCTTCCCTCTTACGAAATGTTATCTGTTGGCACTAAACTGTTCATGTAGCTGGGAGTGCCGAATGCCACCCCCGGACCCTCCAGATCTGCAGGCTAGAGCAGCTGTGGTGGGTATATATTGGAGGCACAGCATAGGTCTTCACTCGGGTAGCACTGCAGACCTGGAATGCATCCAGGGGCCTGCTGCCAATGGCTAAGTCCATTGGCCACCCAGGGACCCTGAATTCTGTGGCAGGCTCACACCCCCCAAATTCTGGTAGGCTGCTGGACTACCAGTGAGCTGGCTGGAACAGTTCCACAGGCCAAATGCAGCCCACAAGCTGTATGTTCGACACCCCTGATCTAACTAAAAAGCAGTACCCCACATCAGCAGTCTAGACAGGAAAGCTCAGCTCAGGTACAGGTCTGCTTAGCCAGACTGTTACACAAGACTTCATTATTAAAAAGCAGCCAGTGGGAAACTGCAGTCTCCCAGATAAGAGTGTTATCACCAGTGGCCAGAATTGTAACTTCAACTGAGTATCCACAAGCGGCTTTTGTTCTGTCAAAAATGACTGAGCAGCTTGTGGCCAGAAGAGTTGATAATACTATTCTTTTACTGCAATGAGTTGGACACTTTCCTAGGAGGACATTCAAAATTTCAGGATTTGAAACAAAGCAAAAGAGATGGCTTCCATGCAGCGATACCTTCTGTTGAAGATGTTGCAGGGATATCTACTTCACCATTGATGACTTGCCCTTCAATTATTTTTTTATAGGAATTTATTACCCGGGATAAGTTGTCACTGGCCTGTAGAATGTCCCCTACATGCAAGAAAGGAAAGAACTGCATCAGGAACTTGGTCACTTTGCTCTCACCACTACACTGAACTCTCAAAAGTCAATAACAATCAACAATCTATTATTTAGACTGCAAGTTCTTTGGGGCAGGGACTTGATGTCTGCATCATGCCTAACAGAACTCTATACCTGATGGGTCTTTTAGACTAGTAAGTTTCCCATAGCAACAACTATTTCTCCCCAGAGGCAGCACTCTCCTCACTTATTATTTATAGATTTTTCATGCAACTACCTTGCCAGGTCCTTGCTCTAATACAGATGCTAAGTTTAAGGGGTAAGGATCTTGTATGTTGTTTGCCTCTAGGGGTCAAGCACACCTAGAGTGACACAGAGAGCCCTCTCACTGTGCTGCTGCATGGCTGCTAATCGCAGCAACCCTACTGCAGTCTCTAAACCATTTAACCCCTCAGTCATAAAAGGGAAGATGGCTGCTTTACCCAAGCTGCTGTCATTATCCTCCGTCTCACTGGCCAGTTTGAATAAAGTTCGTCTTTTGGTTTCACACCTTTCATACAGCTCCTGGAAAAAGAGATGGGGAGAAATTGAAAAGGGCTTGTGAGCCAAAAGACATCAAGAACAGCAAATCCAGTCAAGTCCACATCATTCACTTGCACAGAAATCTCAGTACAAAAGGAGACCCAGAGTGCTGTGCCAATACTGTGACCAAGTTCCCCTTTACTCAGCCCTGTGGGAAGACTAGTAAGTATTTTAAATGTGTGTGTCCAGCCACATAGACCCTCTTGAGGATTAATTAAGGGACTGAACTGTTCACTAATGTCTGTTTTGGTTACTACTGACTTGGTGCTCTCCCCATTAGATATAAGGTCTATGTGTCATATACTAGAGGTAGCACATCTAATGAAGCTGGGAAGTAGAAGACAAAACTGCTTGATTCCGCTACTGGCCCAGTACAATCTCAGCAAGTCACATAATCCTGCTGCATTTCCTTTCCAGCACTCATGAAACATAGTTAATACCTGCTGTCCTTATAAGGATCTTATAGTCCTTTGGATGAAAAGGAGCCAATGGACAATGCTTTCATCTCCTGCCAACTGTTCCCACAGATAACACAGATAACTCCCAATTTGTTCACTGGTCTCCAAGCACTGATCGCTTTGTTCTGTGTTACTTGCTGTTGGCTCAAAGGTTAAGTTAGATAAAGTTTGTGAGAAAAAAATGCTAAAGGGCTCCTATGAAAACAGAAAACCTTGTACCTTCATGAGCTCCCTATCAGCCTCTGATGAGTCCTCTTTGCTGTAGTGAGCAAGCATCTCATTTAGGAGCTTCACATTGTTATTCACCTCCTCAAGGGTATGAATGCGTTTTGTCACCTTCTGAATGCGGGCCTCATCCTTCAGGGTTTAAAATAAAAAGAGACAAGTGAGTCTTCCCTATGGTCTCATAATAGCTTACCAGCAGCTGTGACTCATGCAAAACAAAATACCAATGAGTATTTGAAACAGAACTGACAGGAATGGGATTTTCCATTTCATGGAAAACTCCACTACTATGGGGGGTTGTTGTTCTTTTAGTTCTGAACTGCAGCAAATGCAAAAGTCAGAATTTCTCAGGAAACAAAATTAAAAACAGAATCTGGTTTGATAACGTAACTGTGTTTCATGCCAGTTTTGATGCCTTAAAAGTTGTATGTTGTGTATTATAATGGTGAACAGGTAACCCTAGTAAAGAGTCTGGGTCCCCACCAACCTGCTTAAGCCATTCAAAGCTTCAAACACAGACAAGCAGTTGGTTTAACTCAGAGGCCAGCCCTGCCAGCCAGATCAGGTCCACAGATAACTCTTTCCCCCTCCCAGCATGCCGGATACAGCACCTGCTCCAACTGAGCACACGGCACCCCCTCCAGCCAGTCCAGGCAGGTTCATTGTGCAGCACAAGGTCCAGACTGGCTGGAGCAAATACTATGTGTGGCACAGTACTGGACTGGGTACAGCAGGCATTGGATCCACTATGTAAGAGACCCACAACCCCCCCTACCCCCCGCCTACACTGGATCCAGTGCTTGCTCTAGCCAGTCCAGGGCTGTGCTGCATGTGGTGCCTGCCCTAGACCACCTAGAGCAGATGCCACATGAAGCATATGTTCCAGACTGGATGATGCAAGTAGCGCATGCAGCATAGGCCTGAACCAACCAGGGCAGGCACTATATCTGACAAGCGGGAGAGGTCCTGGACTGGCCCTGTGTGGGGGTTACATGCAAGGTGGGTCTCAGAACATGTGGTGCGTGTCCCAGGCCCCGTGTCTGTTGTGTGTGGTACATGGGCCAACTGGCAAGCCACGGCAACAGAGGCTGGATGATGTGGCTCCACAGACTGGATTCAGTTTGTGGGCTGTATCTTTGACAGAACTAATTTAACTGACGAACGCACTAGCACAATATTAATGGATACTGAAAGATTACATCCAACTACTCTGCCATTTGGGAGTCACTACAGCTACATACCTAGGTACCAGTTGAGTGTCAAAGTGTTTAAAAATTATAAAACAAGACCTTAATAAAGACCCTCCCTACAGAGCTTTATCAGTAAATAAACAGGCAGATCTCCTCACCTCTTTTACCATGGATTTAATAAGCTTGTTGGCCTCTTGTAAGTCATCTGGGTTTTTACTTTTCAATAGTTTGGCTAAAAGCTGGAAGAAGGAAAGAGAAGAGAACATTTAAGAAAGAATGGTCCCTCAGCAGAGGCACAGAGGTAGCAGCTCCCTGGGGGCAAAGGAACCAAGTGACTAAGACAAAGCAGACAAAGCTCCATATTACAAAGCAGTTTGCTTTGCTTTACAAGCTACAGGGACTTCAGTGGAAGTCCTTTAGGGGCCTATTTTGTTTTGGGTTAAGTCACCAGCATTTCCCTCCCAAACAGTTCAAATGCACTGAAACCCTGGAGACCTTTGATGTTAGTCAAGAATGAATCCAAAATATCAGACCCTAAAAATAGTAAACAGCCTTCTCTCCCCTCTGAATGGTTATTCCACTCCTGTTCTAACTACGAATAGTTAGGAAATAACAATATGACATGGCTTCTCAATCAGGATTTTAAACAGTGCCTAAGTTTGGGACAGGCCATAAGAAAAGGAACTAGCAATAACAATCAAACCTATGGCCCAAGTGAAATGAGGGCTCACCTACCAGCAAATCAGTGCTGTCAGTGATCCTCCTCCTAATCTCACTCCAAGTGTGCGCTATGCAATAATATTTTGATTGTGGTAATTATGATTCTAGCCTTCACTTTACCTTGGATTTCTCCTCATCGTCAAATACAGGGTTTTTGGGGCGAGGTGGAGGAGAGGGAATCAGGGTTCTATCCGCAGGGATTACAGGGTCAAACATAACAATACCTGAAAGAAGAGAGAGGGGAATCAAAGTAGGTTGGTACATGTAGCCACCCAGCCTGGAGTCTAAGGAAATATGCAGTTAAATTAAATGAACAATGGTTACAGCAGGATATTTAGGTGAAAATTAACACAACAGCAAAATCTCTGCATATTGTTTGCTGAACCGAGAAAAGCTGTCATTAGAGAACATCCAACACTCTGGGAGTTGGGCTGCCACCTCCTTACATTTCTATGGCAACCCAATAACAACCAATTATTATTTGGTCTCTCTCTTCACTTTGGCCAAGAAACCTCACTGTAAGGTCCCAGTCATCCTACCTAGTGCAAACTCAAGGCCATGAGTGTAAGAGTAGCAGAAGACAGAAACAGAACAATATTGCAAGATGAAGGTAGAAAAAAAGTCTGGTTTTATAACTGGGTCTTACTACAAAATCCCTAGTTTGATACTCTATCCAAATAGGTTGCTGAAAGCACCGTTTTTTAATGCTTAGCCTAAAGCATGTTACACCTTCTCTAGATAAGAAAGTCATACCAGTTTAAGTCATACCAGTCATACCATGCTGTTGTTTTAACTAAGTCACTTTAAGGTGTGGTGTTAAAGTGACTTAGTTAAAACAACAATGCCAAAAGCTGCGAGCACACTCTTATTCAAAGTTAAGCTGAGACTGATGAGGATAAATGACACCAAGATAAACCACTCAAACTAAAATAAAGGCATCTAAGCAGAAGTTTCAAAACTGACCTAAAACCCATTTAAATTTCACCATGATACCTTTCCCCTGTAGACAAGGCCTTTTGCAATTCTCCCTTGTTCTACCATCTAACTGAATCTCCAATGCATCAAGATATGCGAAGGTTTCTTTCCAGAACGTCCCCCGCTATGTGAGAGTCCTACCTAAAAGTACCGGGTGGAGAGAAACACATGAAGGACACACTGCTTCTCACCTTGTCTCTTCAGCATGTAGTAGGCATCTTTAATCTTGGATTCCTCTGGCAGTGCCACTGTCCAGCTATACAGCAGCTCAATGACTTTAGTCTTCACCTTCTCAGAGACTCTGTCTCCTAGGTACTGTGAGGAAAAGTAGAGAAGTGACTCACTCACCTTCTTTTGCTTTAAAAAAACTAAACAGTACTGACTTCAGAAATTCACTAGGACTCAATAAAATCTGTTTTCATGTGAGACGGGAGTATGAATACACCAGGCAACCTCCCTGTACTGATCTGGCGGACAGTCCCATAGCCCAGGTAACCAGGAATCTCTATTAGGACATTCAGAAGTGATGCATAATACAACTCACTAGAAAAAAAAAGTTTTATCACCTTTACAAATAAGTCGCATTTTTTTCCACAATAAAATATCATCCTGTCCCCACTTCTTACAACCATTGAACAAGAGCTAAACGTGACCCACTGGGCCTAGTTCTCCTCTCGCTGAACTGAACAGGAACTGTGTCACTGACCTTTTTCAGTCTCTGTCAGTTGTTTTAGCCATAAGAAAATAATAGTAACAGTAATATTTTCCAATGATATCAACTTTCACCAAAGAATCTCAAATGTTAATCAATACTCCTTTAAGAAATATACTGATTATCCCCTTCCCAAACAGACAAAGAGAGGTTAGGAGACCTTCCCAAGGTCAGTTGCAGAGCCACAAGAGAATCCAGAAGTCCCAACTCCTAGCTTCTTGCTCTAACCATGGACCCACACTTCCTCCCTGGATGATGATCAGGTCCAAATAAAACAACACGAGGCCCAGAAACTCTTTGAGCCACTCGATAGACATGAACAAAGCTCAGTGTGGAAGCAGTACTAGGAATACAACTGCTGCTTGCTGAGAGAGCTATTAATCAGAGTACAAAAACCCAGCTAACAAGTGCCTAGCACAAAGACAACCAGACAAAGCATTATGTTTTTTTAGGAACTGTCTTCTAAATGGAGAGGTACAGCAATGAGAAAAACAGCTACAAAACTAACCTTTGGAGACACAACTTTGATTAACTCGTTTAGAAAACGAAACTTCCCTACTTCATTATGAAATCTTCTCCCACAGTTCTTCATACAAGCTTCCAACACCTGTGTTCAAGCAACAGAAACATGAGGTGAAGTCAACACCCATCAAACCCATTAAAGAAAAATCCCATCGCAGTTTTCTGTGACTGGAAGAGGTGAGGGTTACAACTCACAGAGTAACTCACTCAAGAATATAAGGCTTGAACTCCACTTCTTCAAATGTGAAATGGTATCAAAACATGTAGCTCTTCAATTGTGACCCAGCACTTGGGTCACATCTACAGAGGAAACTGTCCATGTTTGGTACCCTCTGCACTGCTCCATGTGGGATTCTTCCTATGCCAGAGGTAGCATAGTTTGTCCGCACAGTGCTGTGAACAGGCTCATTGGCACTCAGCAGTACTAATTAGACCACTTAAAGGCCATGTTGATGTGACTACGTTGCTTCTAGTTTAAGCAACAGCCCACCCAAAGCAGCGCAGAATGCTTGAGGACTCTGTTCTAGATGGTGTTTCTCAACCTGTGGGTCATGACCCAAAAGTGGGTCACAAAATATATGAAAAGGTTGCAAACAAACTTTAAAAATGGATTCTCCTTTAAAGGAGAAAAACATGGGAAACTGTGGCTTTTCCCTTGCAGTCTGGTAGAGTTCCAGCCTGCAAGGGGCTGCTTGTCCCACCCCGCCCTACACACTGGGGGGCTGGAGACTGGGGGCAGTGGAGTGAGGGGCACTGGGTCGGGACTGGCCATCAATGTTTACAAACGGGTCCTGGTCCAAAAAAAGGTTGAGAACCACTGCACTAGAGCATGGCAAGCTTACTGGGAAGTAATGACCACAAGAAACTCTGCTATCTCCTAAACAGGGTTAGCAGAGGTGGAAAAAGAAGGCCTGAAGATAACAAACCAAAGGACCTGGAGTGAAACCACTTTATTTCTAGCTTCACTGTAGTTCAGGGGCGGGCAATTATTATGCGCAGAGGGCTGCTTACTGAGTTTTGGCAAGCCATCAAGGGTAGCATGACAGGCAACCTAGGGCAGATAAATATTAATTTTCTAATTTTTTTAGGGGCCCCCACAGGCTGGATACAATGGCCTGGCAGGCCGCATCCAGCCCCCGGGCTGCATTTTGCCCAGCCCTGCTGTAGTTAGCAACCTAACTGCACACTTAAGTTAGGTAAGTGTCCTTGTCTGTCCACTTCCAGGGAGTTAAGTGCTTCAGTTCCAATATCAATGAACACAGGAGCGATACTAGATAACCCCGCTGAAAAGAATGGACTGCTCTGCCCCTGAGTACTACACTCAGAATGCCAGCTAACTAGTGACTTGGGATCTGAGAGAGAAGGTAAAGACTACCTACTGTCAAGGCCTGGACTGCTTCCCATTCCTGGGGCGACTGGATTTTATGAGCCAGTAGTCTCACAGCTATCTGTGGACTGAAACAAACCAAAGTGCCATGTTACACACAAAACAGACAGAGACGGTTTTAGGAACACTTAGACATCACAAAAGCAGAAAGAAATGCCCCACAGCTCTTCTCCAGCATCACACCTTCAAAGTACTTGGCAAAAATCAACAAAAATGCCAGGGAGCTTACACACGCATAGAGAGGCACAGGGACTTGTAGATACGGCGTGGTACTAGGAGCCAGGAACTGGAGTGCTAATTTTTTGATCAATTTGCCCTGTAATCTTGAACAAGTTGCTTAACTTTCCAGTGCCTCATTTCCTCCACCCCATATTCTGGGGCAGAATAACCCTCCTTCCTTCCCAGGAAGGCCATGACTTAACTTTAGTTCATTAGCTGAAGTTTATAAAACTGTTTAAAGCGGTAAACCCCCGAGTGCTCAGAATTATTATTCCCATTTTACAGACCAAGAAACTGAGGCAAAGAGCAGTGAGGTTAGATCCCCAAGGCTAAAAAAGCAGTTGGTGTCAAGAGACAGATTTAGATCTCTGAGTGTCCCAAGTCCTGTGCTCAGACTGTGCTGCTTTTCACAGAAAAGACACATTTTGCTATATCCTTCTACATGACCCAGGTTTTTTTCATATTCATGTTGTAACATGAGCATATTTAAAAACGCAAAACATCAGTAACCAAAGGGTACAGATATTTGCCTCAGCTGAGTGCGTAAAACCATTACATTTTGTCTGACTGACTAAAACACATACCCTTCAAGCTCTTTGTTGATCTGGTCACAGAACCCAATGATGTACTCCCAGTCTTCTTGCCTGTTAGATGGGTTGGTGGCTTTATCTTCATAAGAAAAGAGAATATTATATTACCAAAAAACCCAAAGCAGCAGAACAAAAAGTCTTGTATTTCCACGGAGAAGCACCTAGCATCCACTGCCACCCATAAGCAGGGAGAAGCAGCTTCACAGTTTGCATCCCTAAATATCCACGAGTGCTCAGCTGGGATGGGGCAAGTCAGGTCGGAACAGAGCAAAGCATCTACCATGGCTCACTGCATTCCAAGCCCCAGCTATCGAAGCTCAAGTGCTTATAGACACTGCATTTTCATAATGAAGATGAGAAAATGAAGCAAAGGGAGCTTATATAATCTCCCTCCAGTTAGCAGGGTTTGAAATATCTCTTTTCTATTTGCCCATCTGGTATTAAACTACCCGGAGCCAAAGCTCTCAGACCTGCTGCAAATGAAAATCCCCTTTGTAAACACTGCGAGTTTTGCACGCAAATACCAAAGGATACTGCTGAATACAGTATGCAAGTCCTTTGGTTCTGACACCCATTTTTTGGAGTGGCATCAGACTTGTTAGATGTCTTTGCATTTCACATAGGCAATGAAAATTACAATCCATTAGGGCAAGCTCTTGCTTTCAGACACATCCTTGAAGCAGATTGCAGCACACTGATACTATCAAGGTCTATTTTTGTTATGAATGTATCTGCTCCAGGGATCAGCTCAGATGGAGTGCTGGATTCTCAGTTGCTAAGGCTTCTACTTAGACCTAATTTTCCAGGACAGCACACCAAATCATACAACAGCAAACACATTTCCATTGTAAGTGCAGCAACAACATGTTGCACCGTTGCACTACTAAAAAGAGAGAGAGAGAGCGCGCGTGTGCACGTGGGAGGGGAAAATCCCTGAAAACACCAATGAATAAGTGATCGATAACAGGAAGCAATACCAAGGGAAAGCAAAACCAGTTGAAATACAGCAGTCAGGACAGTGAAAATGTGTAGTCTTAGAGGCAAATGCATAAAACAATGAGCTCAAGTGCACTCTACATCTCAAGGTCAGCCTTAAAATGCATCTTTCCACCTTCCTGTTGGCAGCTAAATACAGCAGTTGTCAGATTACTGCACCAAAATCTGTTCTAAAATACACCCTCATCCTTTTACTGTGATATTCCTTCATTGTTTGCTTGGCTTTTCTTCCTCCCCAGAAAACCATGCCTAAAGTAATCCCATAGGCCTTGAGTTGGGTTTACAAGTAATTTTGTTCCTGGTGGTTCCCTGTGTTCCTTCACATGACAACTGACTTCTGTAGATCTCTGAGCAACCAGGAGGGTATAATACAGGGCTACCTGGAGGACCTATACCTTGGTATTGAAATGACCAAGTTATACCCTAAATTAAAGAAGTTTAATGGCAACTGAATATAAATGCCATCATTGCACTGCCAGATACCTCTTAAAACATGTGGCACTACACCTCTTCAAACATGTGGCACTCAAACCTTATTACCTCACTTTTGGCTGCTAGACACCTGAGACATGAAAAATAGGCTTACAAGAGTCTAAATTATTGTCAAGCCAGTGAAGCAGTCTCTTATATTACTCAGTGCTCCACAAAATCCCCACATTGCTAACACCTCCATCTTTGCTGCTTTTGTGCGCGCTGTCGGCTTCAGTACTACAGAGCAGTTCAGCTGGGACTGCTGGCATTTGTTTTTTTTCATCGGAGATGCTCTATTATTATGAGATAGCAAATGACTTTCAACACAATGAGTGTTTGGTTGGCTGCACATTCTGAATCCGGGAAAGAAATCTGGCCTGGACATAATAAAACACAACTGACATTTTCAGGGCAATAGCTGATTTCAAAGTCACTTTTTTATTTCAGTATTTCCTCCCAGCATCTTTTGGAACTTCAGAAGGCTCTGTTTGGGCTTAGATTTCTCTCACAAACCTGAATGCTTCATACTCGAAGCTGTCACAGGATGACGATTGTGTTGCACATGAACGGAGACATTATTAGAAAGAGATTACATTCCAAATAAGGAAATCCCTGCTTTCTAATATCGAGGCCATTTTTGTCTGTTGTCCAGTTTCATAGACGCTAACATGCTGTGTCCCTCAGAGGTTCTATTCTTGGCTGCAGACACGACAAGTCTGTCTCCACTGCTTAATGCAGTGCCCTGTAGACAGAGACCCAAGCTAGAGTGGGTACTGGAAGCAGGACAGTTATGCTAGTGCAGCCCTCCACCTGGCCAGGCTTCCCAGCAGGGTAAATTAGCCTGGGCTAAAGTGGCTATACTGCTTGCAGTTCCTGAGCTCACTTGTTTAGAACCAATTCAAGTAGTTCTACAGGGCACTGCATTATGCCACAGACCTACCACACAGTCCACTATTGATGTACGGAGTAGACCAGATGTAAGCAGCAGCAGAACAAGTTTCCCCACACTAGCCCTTTAATGTGCTTCAACTGTCCCGTGGAAGATTACTGCTAGGGAGGAATGTTCTACTCAGTGATGCAGTCAATCCTCAGGTTCCCTCTTGAAACTGCCAATAAGGGTCCAGTTAGCACCCAGCTGGAGTTACGTTTCATGAGGACACCTGTCCCCTAGGATCTGACTGGCGGTGCTCAACCCAAGGCCCAAATTGCTGCCTCCCCCACAGGTCTGGATGACATGGCCTTGTATGCTAAATTACGCTAACACACAGGATTGCTCTGCGGCCATATCTGGTCAGGTTGGCAGGCTGGACTGCACCTGCATGTGCTCCTGCGAGGGATCCAGTCTGCAGACTGGCCCTACGGCACACATACAGCCTGTGGGGCCAGAAAGATTAGACACCACTGAGTCGCACTGAAACTTAACAACTGATTTCTGAACAGCACTCAGTAGATTTGAACCAGCAATCTAGACACAGGGGGCCACATCACCACAATCCCATCATCATTCAGTCCCTTGGCTTTTGGATACTAAAACACTTGGGTCATATGTTACTGTATCACAATACTGTCTCATATCTAATGTAGGTGTCTGTGCCACTCAGCATTCTTTTGTTCTTCCATATCCTTAAATACTAATAAGCCAACCCTCAGTTATACTGAGACATGAACCAACAGTGTTTATTTCACTTGTATAGCAATGCTTTGGAACTCTGTTAATGAGCTCTCACATGTTCTGCATTTCACTTCTTCATCGAGAGAGGAGGAAAAAAAAAAATCACAAGCTAACATTCTTGCAAAACACATTGAGGCCCAATACCAAAGAAAAGATTTGCATCGGCGATCCCCTGTTCCAACTATCTGGCATTCTGTATCCCAGGTAAAATGAGAAGAATCCTGACTGATAGATGACGCAAACAGACAGATTTGGATTGCATGTTTTAACTCCTATACTCCTCCATTTTCTCTGATTATGAGCTCTTTGGGACAGAAACTGTTTTCTATGTATTCAATAGTGCATAGTACATCACAGAGATAATCGTAATATAGAAAAGCTACGTTGTGCACACATCAGATTGAGGAATGCTGAGAAGAGGGTCCAGTTCTATGGAAGCACCTGAGATTCATTTGCCAACCTCCCCTTCTATTTCAGACTTCATGGGTGGAAGACTGGCCCGCAAGGAGACTGAGGAAAAGCAGGGACACTTCTCTCTCATCTCACCAATCAGAAGTGGGACAGGAGAGAGGATGAAGGCGTTTCATATACTGAAATACCTATCCTGCTACAACATGGGGACACATGGATGTTATTACTCTGTGTGATTCCATCTGATGGCACAGTGATGCTGCAGCTGCTGAAGGCTGAATACCAGACTCTATTAATCCCTAAAAACACAAATCTTTTCCCCTGACAGAGACACTGGTCCACACAGCTTTGTGGTGGGGTCTGCTTCTCCCATCGGCAGGGACACAACAGCTGCAATCCCAGGATTAGCAGCAGACCCAAAAAGCTGAGTTATCATAAAAACAAATCTAAGGAAGTCAGGCAAGATTTCAGACTTCCCTGTCAGCCCACATGCATTTCTTCAGTAGCTTGTGGAAAGTACCACAGCTCAAATCACCATGTCAGTGATCAGGCATAAACACAAATTCTTAAAATTAGAAAGCAACATTCAAGTCTTAAATCCTATAGACAAAAATGTGCATTTTCCTTAAGGAATGAGGAGCAGCTCAGACTCTCAGCTATAGGGAAGACCTATTATAGCCAGCTGCCTGTGATGGTTCATGGCAGTATTATTCCTTATAGTGCATTTTCAAACCAATTGTCCTTGTCTAGCTCTAAGTGATGCATCGGTGGACTAAATGTCCCCCTGAACTTTCAGTCTTACTGAAAAAATAAAAGCAAACTGGGAAGTCATTACTGTTGCTCCGCCTAAAATTTCCTTCATACTAGATATATTTTCATACATGAACTGCGTTCAGTGAGTCAGGTTTCCGCAGGGAGAGAAACAGGGAGAATGTGGGTGTTCCTCTGTGTGTGTCTCAGGCTTCAATTAATACCTTACCAGAGAGAGACTGACAAACTGGGAAAGAATTCAGAGGAGCAATCGAAATGATCAGGGACCAGGTAGGGTGGACTTAGAAGACAAAACCCACAGCGAAAAGCACAGTTTGCCCAGCAAGAACTACAGGCTAGATCAGTGTTTCTCAACCCATGGGTCACAACGCAAAAGCGGGTTATGGGAATATATGAAAGGCTCACAAACAAGCTTTAAAAATGGATCAATAAAAAAAAAAAAAATTGATTCTCCTTTAAAGGAGAAAAATGTGGGAAACCACAGGTTTTCCCTTGCAGGCTGGCAGAGAGCTCCAGCCTGCGAGGGGCTGCTTGGGGCTCCCCCACCCTACACACACACTGGGAGCTGGGGCCTGGGAGCAGTGAGTCAAGAGTGAGGGGCACTGGATCAGGACTGGCCATTGATGTTTACAAATGGGTCCTTGTCCAAAAAAGGTTGAGAACCACTGGGCTAGATGATACATGCATTCAGACAGCGCAAACATGAAGGAAGAAAAATGACAGGGTTTAAGGCGGTTATGGAGGTACAACGAAGAGCA